ATTTGGGAAATCCCTCAAGGTTTCGAGGATAATCGTAACAATATTTTTTTGACCGGCTCAAATTTTCAAGTCATTTTTAATGTTTTGGAACAACTGGCAACACCTTTACGGAGTGTATTGTTTCAGAGTTGCCATCTCATTCTAATGCTCTACACAAAGGCAGCGAAAAATGACCCTGTTTTTTAGTAACTTCCCTCCGAAAAGGAACTACAAGTCTTATTAAAATAAAGACTAAAAGAACCGATCAAATCGCACGGAGATAACCTAAATTTCCTAAAGATGACTACAGATTTGACTCAGAGTAACGAAAATAAAAACAAATATCTGGCCCTGTGTTTATAAATATTCTAAAAGCGCTAACTTTAATCCGGCGACAGTCGGGGTACTCTCCTCGAGATGGCAACCCGGTGTTATTTACAATGCCGCGCAAAAGCAAAACAGATTTTAATAAAAATGCGAAAGCAGATCGAGTTATAGTAAAGACATCTCCAGTTAATGCCGAAACAAATATAATCCGTCGAACACTTCGTTCGTCGAACTCAAATCTTCAAGTGAGAACACGCAATCAATCCAGATCAGAGAAGAACTCTCCAAAACCGGTGACCAGCAGTCGCACCAGAAGTGGGAACGTTATGTCAAGTACAGTGGATGAGGCTGAACCATCTATAAGTCGTAAAACATTGGCTGAAGATAAGGAGAACGCCGAATTAAGTGACGAATCGCCACAAAAAATACCAAAAAATAAACCCGTCCCTATGGACAGTAATGAAATTGTGTCAACGAAGGATACAGCTGATGAACCCATGCAAGTTGATATGCAATCTACAAATGTCGGAAGCAAAGATTGTGCTGAACCACAGACAGATTCATCTGCAACTAAAATAAATTTGAATAATAATAAGACGAATATCGAAAAAAAAGAAAACGAAGTCACAGAAGAACCGACTCAAACTGAATCTCCAAGCAAGGACAATAGAAATGTGCAGAGATCAGCATCCATTGACAAATTGACAACTCTTTTCTCTAATTTGTATCTTAATTCCGTGCAGCGTCTGTGTCTACAGTTTCCACCACGTTGTGCTGAAGATTTAGTATACTGCCGAAAACAGCATTTCCAGCAACGATTTAATGAAATGGACAAACCTAGTGAAGCACGATTGATGCAACTACGTTGTACTCTTAAACAGCAGAGATACCTTTCATTTATCAATCTGGCGATGGATATGTGCCAGCGATATGAGTTTCCTGGAGAGGATACATTTACCAACTTGATTGAATTAATTTTGGCTAGTTTCAAATATTTTTCTACCCATATATCGCCCTTTTACTAAATTACTCTATCTCAAAAATGTTTTATTTTCTTATAGAGCCTTAACCCCAAAACTGGAGATGCCGCTTTCATACGCACATACCGCCAATCCATTGAGCTATTTAGTTATATGGTGCGTACCTTTCCACCTTGCTGGCGTGCTACGCACACAGCCTACATTGGCTTTTTTCAGCGTCCCCTAGACGCAGAAAAAATTTATAACAACAAATCTAAGAGGGACAATCGGTTGTCCAAATCAAAAAAGGTTTTTGATATAATACTGGATTTGACCGAAATTATACTCAACGAGTGCACCAACGAAGAGCTATCGATTGTAACTGAACCCCAAACACCAACTAATGAGAAAAAAGCAAAGGAGGAGTCGGTGGTAACAGAAACCCGCAATAGTGAGCCTTTTGATCACCACAAATGGGAAGAACGTGATAGTCGTTTAAATACTTATACAGCACTAAAGCCCACTGAGCGTTTGGAAAGACTATTTATAGTCTTACGTCTTATTTTACAAATACTTGAAAGTGATTTCGTAATGTGGCTGCTGCATCATTATCGCAAAAATAAAAATTGGTTATTCTATACTGATAGCAGACCGCTGGCGGTGTTTGTACTTGGCATATCAGAAGAAGCCCATTTGAGTGCTTTAGGCCGCCAGCTCTTCCTGCTGTTTGCAATGGCAGTTAACAAAGGATTGAATGTTAACTATTTGAAAGTTCTTGAGGTAAGCTTCGAACCTCTGTTTAAGTTTGGAAAAATATATATCTAACATTTATTTTCGAATTTCTAGCGATATATAGCACTTTTGATGGTCATAAGCAACACTGCCGACATAGAGCACACCGTACTGGGTGTTAAATATCCACAGCTTGGTCCAAATACAAAGCAAATTATACTAGATTTCTTCCGAAAGTTTAAAGGTATTGCACTCGCATGTATTTTTGTACTCGTCACACAATCAAGCTCTTTGTTTTTTAGATCGCAATTTGAACTCGTCCATTTGCAACTATATTAAGGCTATTGACGTTCTACGCATACCGTACGTTCGATACACATTTATCGATCAATTTCTGCAAATGTTTGGGTTCTTGTATTCAGAAAACTTTTCTCCAGAAAAAGTATTTCATTATATGAGAAAGAAACGTTGGCTGAAACAAAAAAAGCAAGCGGAGTTACATGCAGAAGTAGATGACAGCTCAGATGTAGTCGATGAAATCTCATGTGAGCAGCATCTATCGCTTCTACTGGAAGCTTTGAAAGCCTATTGCGAATGGCATGCATCTAAAGATTTTATGCAAATAATTCTAAATAAGCGACAAGTGAGCTGCTTAAAAATCACCACCCACTCTTTGCATCATACTCCCATTGCTTCGGGTGGTCTTCTGAATCTGGCACGCATGGAAAATGACATTGTACATTTGGAGGGAAAGCTACGAAAGACAGTGCGTGTTGCAAAACCAGTTATTGATTTACCGCTCATGGACATTTGTATCGATCAGGATTTGCGATTTAAGTATCGTAACGATTTGAAATATTTAAATGCGCTACAACAAAAAGTTACCGAGCAAAGTATAGCACATCCAGAAGTAGATTTCAGTGCGTGGGAGACGTTTTTAATTGATTTTAAAGTTGATTAATTTGCAGTGCCATAAGACACATTATATGCTTAAGAAATTTAACTATCCCAGTTACGCTACACTTTATTTTTGAAACTGTTTTATTTATCGCCATAATATTAAGCAATTTTGAATATTAAACAATTTAAATTTATTTCTTGAATAATACTTACTTGTTGCTTATCTGATCTGGATTACATTTCTGAACTTTTGTTTTGAATGCAAATTTAAAATGAAAGTCGGTCGTTTGATTTATGACAATTTTTGTACACTTTCTGTGCTTAAAAGATACCATTTTATTAATCATTACGTGAATATTCGTATAGCTTTCTATTTGTTTTTTTTTTGTTTTAGGTATAACATTTTTGTTGATGCCTTTGCTACTCACCGTAATCAGTAGTGTATTAAACAATATAGTTTCTTAGCTTATTATCCAGTATTTAGTATACATGTTTTTGTATAGAGTATTCGCGTCCACATAAAGCGAAAGCTAGCTGTTGAGCTCATACATGCTTATCATTCTTCGCATTAGCTCAAACAAAAGTGAAATCCTTAATATTTTAAGCACGCATTCTTTATTCCGCATTTTTTAAATTCGACTTTACTTGTTTATTTTCACTATGTACATTCATTCACACATTATGAATATGCTTTAACGGTATAATAGAGCATACATAGTTCACACAGATGTATTATATTACATAAATTTCAATACTTGAGTGTGATTGCTCGTATATTAAAATTCTAACCTCGGTGTGCTTTTATCAAAATCATTCGATTCTATGTGGAATCTGATAGCCCTTTGTAAGCTCATCCTTAAAACTCCAAACAGTTATGAAAACCCACTATTTTTTCAAAACTTATTTTTAGATTTAAACAAACATATCGCACGTTTAATAATATTACGAAGTACTTCAAAAATTTCAATTTTGTGGGTAAACGCAATCAAAGTTTTATCAATTCATACAGTTGGAAAGACACATATCATCGCCATATTTGGGAAGTTTGGTTATCTATTAGACTGAATATATTCTGCTTATCAAGCTTACTAATTGCATAATGAAATCTCCAAAAGCGTAAATTTTGAGTTACATCATGTACATACATACATCTTAAAAAACTTTTTTGTCAGTGGACCAACGTGTCCAATCCGCCGACGAACTAGAGTAGTTCTACGATTCATATTGGCGGAAGAGACAATAGAAAACGAAATCATACGGCTAAGGACTGCGAGAGCCTGCCCTCGGGGAGTGGGTACATTCGCCTCTGTTATTGATGTTATTAGTGGAAGAACTACTTGGAGTTATTAAGCAATGATGGCTTAATGGGCCAAGGATATTTCGACTATATACACTGACAGCAGAAATAATGTTTAATATTTTTTTTATAAAACTTTATCATTACATGTACACTGCCGGAACAAAGTATTGGCACAGCAAATTTTTCACAATATATGCAACAATTTTTATTCTAATATTTCTCCGCCAATTTTGTATAAAAATATTGTTCATTCAACAACAAAAAACTTAAAAATATAATTCCTAAACTTTGTGCAAAACTCGCGAAAATGCAGAAAATTTTCATCAAAATCTTCAATTTTTTAATCAGATTTTTTAGAATTTGTTTGAGTATGTAGTTTTGCAGGTTCTAGTAACAAAAATGCAAGTTCGGAGTTAGTGGAAAATCGCGTTGGTTTTTGAGAATTTTTTTGTTGCAGGTGTTTTGCATTTTTTCCATATAAAGTGTTTTCGAAAAAAATTGTTTGTATGGAAGAGACTGCGTGAAAAAATTGCCAAAAATCACCGGTAATCCCTAGCTTCTTAAAACTTACACTTTTTTATAACTAAATTGATTGGGCTACAAATCTGCATACTCAAAATAAATTCTAAAAAATCTGATTAAAAAGTTGAAAATTTTTATGAAAGTTTGCTGAATTTTCGCGAGCTGTGCACAAAGTTTAGGAATTACATTTTTATGTTTTTTGTTGCAGAATGAACCATATTTTTATACGAAATATATTAGAATGAAAATTGTTGCATATATTGTGTAAAATTTCCTGTGCCAATACTTTGTTCCGGCAGTGTACATATAATAAACCTCTTATATGAACTGCACATAGCCCATTTACTTCAATAGTATCAGTATCATAACTCAAAAAAGCAAAATTCCAGAAAAAATTCGCATAGTAAAAAAACATTTTTTGTTCTTGTGAGGTACTGCTATGAAATTTTTACACAGCATAAAAGAAGATGTAGAGATAATTTCTGTAAACTTGCCTATCCTTAGCGAATCGAGTATTACTACCTTTTCGAATCGTTGGCGATTCGAGAATATTTAATTATTCGAATCTTTGGAGATTCTATAATTTTTATCTTTCGAATCGCCAACGATTCGAGAATTGTTGTTTTTTTTTCTTGAATCGTTAGCCACTTGGGATTTCAGCTCGCTGGCTATTCGATTATAAATAAACAAAAGATGAAAAATGTGCAAAAATTTTGAGTAATTAGTCAATTTATTATAAATGAAAATTCGTACTTAATTTGTAATATCATAAGTAAACAGTAATTTTTGCTATACATATTAGACTTGTTCTTGTAATTAAATTTTTGGTTTATTCGGTCTGCGCTATATTGGAAAACTTTTTTATGGATGGAATGTTAATTGGAATTCAGCTGAAAAATATTAAAGTGAACAGTTTTATTGAGCTTGAGGCTGTTTTTAATGATTATTTCTTTGTGGAAAACAACAATAATTTTACATTAAAAATGGCCTCAAGCTCAATAAAATTGGTGAAAATAATTAATATAAGGCTGGGCCATTTCATTTTGACTAGTGGGACATTTTACTTCAGAATATCATCAATTGCGAATTTTAACTAAATGCCAAACGTTTTCTTATTCTTATGTAACTATCATTTGAATGAAGGTGACTGGTGGGACACTGAAAAGAACTCTTTTTTACCTTTGTGCACTCAAATATGAATTGTAAAATACGAATTATACGCTTTCTTTTTCAATAAAAGTTAGGCAGTAGAAATATTAAAAAATATTTAAAGATGTGACTGGTGGGGCATCTCCTTGTGACTGGTGTAAAGTAATTATGCATGAAATAAAAGTTTCCATAGACAAAAATGGCAACTTCTTTTAATTTTTCTAATATTTTCCCACAGGTTAATGAAATGTAGTCATTTAAAAAGAGGTTACTACTGAAATAGAGATAATTAGGGCATATTTACATTTATGTCGTTTTCCTCTTTACAATGGAATGTCCCGGCTATAAATAACAAAAACAAGATATCTATGTAAATATAAAAATAGGTGAAACTAATAAATTGTATGGGTGCCTTCGTATAAGAATTGTGAACGAAAAGTATCGACTAATGTACTCGTATTGTTTCATGCCTACTTTAAAATTTGAAATTTTTTTGAGCACTATTAAGCGAATGTTATAAAATACACGTTTTGGGCTCAAATATGTAACAGAATGGTAGAATCAAGTGTTAATGGAAACTTAAATCAAGTCGCAATGGAAGAAAATGAATTTAATGTAGATCGAATTGACCGCAAAAAATTTAGCGTCCAAATACTTTATTTACTACAAATATCGTCGTTTATAGCATAAACTCCATAAATATCGAAAATGATGCATATATTTCATTAATGGAAATCCCATAACAACAGATGATGTTTCGTTTTCTAAGATTATCAGAAAATGGGTAGCAAATAATTTAATATTAAATAGCATTTCTGTAACTAAATACCCAGTTCACGAAGCAACCAAGGTTTTACAAATCTCGTTAAACACAGATATTTCCTTTGTTCTGTTGCTGCATTAAATAAAGCAATCTTACTAAAATAATATGTAAATAAATTGTATTTTTTATTTTCCTAATAAAGAATAATAAAAATAATATATATATATATGTATGTATATATACTAAAAATTATTTTCTTGATTGTGCCTCGAAGACTATGTGAAACATTTTTTTTTTTCGAGAAAACTCATTTACCCTCGAGCTTATCTCGAATTCGAGACGAGCCCAAAAAATGTACTCGATAAATTTATTTTCTCGAGTTCGTCTCGAATTCGACTCGATGTCGACTTCGATTTTGTGTTTATTGGGTTAACTCCGTATTTGTATTTTTTGGATTTTGACGCTATTGACGTAAATGACCGATATGTATGTTATGCTATGAAAATCAGCATTTCACAAAAATTAGAAAAATTCAACGAATTTTCACCAAAAATATTAAACTTTTTATTCTGAATTGCACTTTATCCAACTAATCTTTTGTGGACTATAAAATTGAGTGCCTAAAATTTTCAATAAAAAGTTTAATAACACTAGTTTACAGCAAAAATGTCCTATGGATGCCACTATCCAATTCCTATGTAGAATCGCTCGGTGATTCCGAAAATCCGAGAATTTTTTTTTTGTATGGATAACTTTTCGAGATATATGCAATTTATCGTTATTCAGTATCACGTATATCTTACGAACCAATTGAATAATCATAATTCGGGTTACGGGAAATGAAAGCAAATAGAATTCTCCATAAACTGTATATACATCACTTTTCGATAGCTTTGATAGTTTCTGAGAAATTAATTAATCATTTCTGACACCTCGTTTTCGATGCAAACACTCTGCTTACTCAGGTGTACGTGGCGTATGAGTAACAGGGCTTGTTCGAGTTGCAACCACAACCGCAGTGTTGCGCGAATTATTAATGTATAATGTACATATAACGTTCTTTGAGAATTTCTGGCATCGTATTATCAGTTGGGCAGCTGCAACAGTTTCATCAGTTCGACACTAATGCCGCTTTTATTACGTGCCTCGAACAGGGCCAAACTCTTTTCTGCTCATATTTCATACAAATAATCCTTGCGCATTTTGATTTGACCAAACACTACTTTCTTATTTATCCATTGATTTTTTTCTAAAGGAACAGGCTTTAATGCAAGTGCAAAACATTTACACAGAAACTGTTATTTTTTGACTTTTTTTCCTGTTAAAGTTTGATTTTTTTGCATTTTTCCATTAAAAAAACAAAGAATCCGGAATGATTAATTAATTTCTCAGAAACTATCAGGGCTATAGCAAATTGATGCATTTGCGGTTTATGGAGAATTTTATTTGCTTTCATTTGCCGTACCTCTTAGTA